CTTTGTGCCTTTCCTGGATCTCGCTGGCCTCGAACTCCACAGAGATCCGCCTGGCTCTGCCTCCCGAGTGCTGGGATTAAAGGCGTGCACCACCACTGCCCGGTGGTCCTCCCAAGTCTTTAGAAGTGGTCCAGAATGTAACCAGAAAGGATGTCCCAAGTGGGCAGGGCTATGAGCCAGAGCTAGACACTACCCACCCCCCAACCAACCCTGAACAAAGGGGGGATATGCCAAGAGAGACTTCAGACATGCGTGGGACCAGTCACAGGTAGGGCTCTCACCTTCCCCATTCCCAAAACCAGGATTATTGTCAATGTTGGGGCTCCAGAATGTCACAACCAGACCTCTTATCCTTTTCTGACCTGACGGGCCTCACTCAATCCCTGATCCTATGGCTGGGTGAGATTTATGGGGGTCCTGGAGATGGTGTGAATGTCAGAAATGAGCCTGATGGTGGGACAAACGTGGTCTGTGACTGTTTGCATGAATGGTCCTAAATCTTCATCCCTCTCCTCTCCCTAACCTTTGCCATGCAGTCTTGTTGTGGAATATTAGTTGAAGATGTGTTACATTTGCTTATGCTGTGGAACACTGTTTTAATGATGCAAAGATGTGTTTATGTTGCATTTGTTTAACTCTGTGAAGCTGTGTTACTGTGCCTGTCTAAAACACCTGATGGTCTAATAAGGAGCTGAATGGCCAATAGCAAGGCAGGAGAAAGGATAGGTGGGGCTGGCAGGAAGAGAGAATAAATAAGGAGGAGAAATCTGGGAGGAAAAGATCGAGGAATGAGAAAAGGAGGAGAGGAGAACTCTAGGGGCCAGCCATCCAGCTACACAGCAAGTCACGGAGTAAGAAGTAAAGAAAGGTATGCAGAAATAGAGAAAGACAGAGAAAGCTAAAAGCCCAGAGGCAAAAGATAGATGGATAGTTTAAGAAAAGCTGACTAGAAACAAGCCAAGCTAAGGTGGGACATTTATAAGAAATAATACACCTCCATGCGTAATTTATTTGGGAGCTGGGTGGTGGGCTCCCGAAAGAGCCAAGGAGTAAAAACCACCAACTACATAATCTGGTGGTGGCTTGTCCCCTGGGTGAGCTCAGTTCCATCCCTGACACCAGATCCAACCTGTGACTCACTTTAGGCACCAATGTGCTGATTGTGGACACATGCAATCAGAGGCTTCTTCAGTGGGCCTCCACATTGGGCTTGCCTGCCTGTTCCTCTGTGGAGATCATGACAAAGCTAAGCCTGGGCTAGCCCACAGGTCTGAGAAGAGAATCAGAGATAGATGAGGTGCAGCCTGATCACCTCAGGCGAGACCAGTGCACAGCCAAGAAACCCACATTCGGCTGCAGACGTCTCCTCACGTGCGGTTAAGCTGAGCCAACCTAATAGCAACAGCAACCTGCTGACCCGAAGCCTGTGAGTAACCTTGGCTGCCATACCCCATCGGGACAGGGGATGGCCCTTACGAAGCACCACTGTGCCATTCACTTGCTGATAGACATGCCAAAAAACTCCCACTATTACCTAACCTTAGCAGCCTGCTCTGCTGTCTTTGCTGTGTGTGCATGTTTTGCAGCGCTGTGGAGACAACCCAGGACCTCCCACGCGCAGGGAAGAGCCTTACCCTAGTCCTTGCTGTGTGCTTTCTGATCAAGGCGCTCTATACTGAACACGTCCGTGTATCATTTAAAAATGACTGAACTGACTGTAACTCGGACAATTATTAAAAACGCATTGTCTGTATCTATTTCTTGGGATACATTCCCTCAACCCCCGGGTATACAGTTACGTAAAAACACAGGAGGTGGCCGGCGGCCTGACAACCGCCTGGTGTCACTGGGACAGGCTCTTTCAGCAGATGAAAAGGAAAAACAAAACGTCGGTTGACTACCCCTGCTCCTTTAAAATTGTTTCTTTAAGACAGGGTCCCATGTAGCCCAGGCTGGCCCAGGCTGGCCTGGTACTCTGTATGCAGCTGAGGATGACCTTGAACTCGGGATCCTCCGGCCTCCACCTCTTGAATGCTGAGGTAACAAGTTCTTGCCCACCATGCCTGGTTTATGTGGTACTGGGGACTGAACCCAGGGTTTCACACATGCTAGGTAAGTGCTCTACCAAAGGAGCCACATCCCCAGCCAGAATTAAAAATTATAATAATAACAACAACAATAATGATTTTTTTTTTTCCAATTTAGTTTTTTAGAAACAGGGTTTCCTACAGCCCAGGTTGGCCTTGAACCTGATATGTGGCTGAGGATGATCTGAACTCCTGATCCTCCTGCCTCCACCTCTCCAGTGCTGAAATTTCAGGTTCTCCACACCTGGTTTATGTGGTACTGGGGATGGAACCCAGGACTTCGTACTGTCAAATCAGTCACACCTCTAGGTCACGAATTTAAAAGAATTTACAAAGAGACCAGGTTGCATATAGCCCAGATTGTCCTCAAACCCCTGATTCTCCTTGCCTCCACTTCTCCAGCGTTGGGGTTACAGCCCTATGTATGCTGGGCAAATGCTCTACCCACCAGCCACACCCCCAGCTTTTCTCCCCGCTGCCCACGGACTGGCAGGTGCCCGCGCTGGGATTCGAGGCGGCAGAGCACGGCTTACCTGTGTGCGAGCGCAGGTGCACGGTGAGCTGGCTGGAGTTGCGGCTGGCGTAGGGGCAGATCTGGCACTTGAAGGGCCGCTCGTCCGAGTGGATGCGCAGGTGCTTGTTGAGGCTGCTGCTGTCCGCCGCCGCGTAGTCGCACGTCTTGCACTTGTAGGGCTTGACGCCCGTGTGGCAGCGCATGTGCGTCTTCAGCTTGTCCTTCCGGCTGAAGCACTTCCCGCACACCTCGCACTTGTGGGGTTTGTCACCTTTGGCGCACACGCAAGCCGCGGCGGGAAACAAGATTGGAGAGTTAACTTTTACGCCTGACACCTTCGGAGAGGACCAACCTGCAGGCTGCCCCAGGGGTGGTTTAGAAACCCCGGGGCATGGGGTGGAGTGGTGGTTCCTGCCGCTTTGCTTATTTAGACTTTTCAAACGTTTTCCCTAAGGTGGATATGAACTCCTTATTAACTAAGACACACAGCAAGTAAAAAAAAAAAATAAAACATTTTGTTGTTTCTGGACAGGGATCCCTATAGCTCAGGCTGGCCTCAAACTTGTTATGTAGCCCAGGCTGGCATTGAACTTCGAGAGCCCCTCAATTTCTGAGTGCTGGTATTACAGGCATGCCTCACTATGCCAGGCTTTGAAATAAGAATGTGGTAGTCTTTCTGCTTACCTTCTGGCTATTCTGCCCCCTTTACTTGCTCCCTGAGCCTTACAGGGCTGAGCACTCATCCGCCCGACTTCTATCATCTTATTAATTTTGATTGTGTTTTTTTTTTTTTTGAGACAGGATCTCACTACATAGCTGTCACTGTTCTGGAGCTTGCTCTATAGACCAGGCTGGCCTGGAACTTTTAAAGATCCTCCTGCCTCTGCCTCCCAAGAGCTGGGGTTAAAGGTGTGTGTCACTATACTTTTATCATATTTTCTTTTACCGCATTTTTTGATATTTAAATCGTTCCAATATTTTTCCCTTTTATTTTATTTTACAATACCATTTAGTTCTATCGTTCCAATATTAATGTATTATTTCATACTACAGACACAGACACTAATGTAATGTGAAGCAGCCCTCTCGTCTATCCATTCCTTTTACAGCCTGGGGCCAGAGTGGCCTGCCTTCTGAACGGCCTGAGCCCTCACAGTGGCCTGGGTGCTGTTTAGGTCTCCCGGCTAAGGCAGTGTAATCCAACCCCGGATGACACAGGTGAGCACGTGACCAAACTCACTTTTGATCTGGAGCACCCCTATTATTAAGTGGGTGTGTACTGTCATTTCTCTGTGTGGGCATGTGCATGCCACGGCACGTGTGGAGATCAGGGGGCAACTCGCACGCGTTGGTTCTCTCCCTCTACCGTGAGGGTCTTGGGAATTGAACTCATTTATAATGTCTTTAGGCTTATCAGCAAGCACCTTTACCCACGAGCCAACTCGCCAGCCCGGTATTGTGTGTGTGTGTGTGAGCATATGTGTACATGAGTGTGTGTGTGTGTGTGTGTGTCTGTGTGAGAGAGAGAGAGAGAGAGAGAGAGAGAGAGAGAGAGAGAGAGAGAGAGAAAGAGCATATGTGTACATGAGTGTGTGTGTGTGGTGTGTGTAGAGAATAAACTAGGGTCTCGGGATTGCTAGGCAAGTGTTCTATAACTGGGCTACAGTCTCACCTCTTTTTAATCAATTTATCTTGGTGTATGTGTGTATTTTTCCTTTAGGACAAAAACCTCTGCCAGCTAATGTCTTTTTCTTTCCTTTTGACACAGAGTCTCAGGTTGGCTTTGAACTTGCTATGACCCTGAACTTCTGTCTCTACCTGCAGAGCACCGGGAATGCCAGCATGTACCACTGCGTCCCACTGATGCCAACCTGGGGGGAACCCAGAAGTTTGTGCATGGTAGGCGAGTGCTCTACCACTGAGCCACGCCCCAGCCCCTCACACTGATCCGGACACTTCACTCTTTGAATATCCTGCCCGTGGATCCTTTATTTCATTCTCTTTATAAAGCTGGGACTGGAATCCAGGGCCTCCTGCTTTCCTGGCAGGTTCTCCGCCACTCCCCGCTGGCTTCCTTTGCTCATAGTCATTTCTGTCTTTTCCACATCATTAACAGCTAAGGTGGAGTGATTTTATTTTATGGATGGGCCATAAATTACTGAATCCATTTCCCACTGGCCAGGAAAAAGAATGGAGCGCGCGCGCACACACACACACACACACACACACACACACACACACACACACACTCACATGTGTGCGCACACACATGCGTGACTGCACAAAGACAGGTAATACTGAGATGGCTGTAGGGACTAAAGGCATCTATCTACCATCAAGTCTGAGGACCCCAGTTTAATTTCTGGGACCCACACGTGGCAGCAAAGAACAGATTATGATAGTTGACCTCTGACCTTCACAGGGACATGGTGTGCATGTGAGCATGTGCACACACACATGCTCAAAATAAAGCTTAAAAATAATAAAGACATACAATATTAAATGGGAACAAGAATACCTTATTTACCTAATAAGAGATGATAAAATTGTTTGTCTGGAGCTGGGCACAGTGGTTCATGCCTTTAATCCCAGCACTTAGGAGGCAGAGGCAGGCAGAACTCTGTGAGTTTGAGGCCAGCCTGGTCTATAGAGTGAATTTTAGGGCAGTGAGAGCTATATAGTGAGACTCTGACTCCCAAAAGCCCACCAAAAACAAACAAACAAAACCCCAAAATAAGTCTTAGGCCCTATATCTGCAGGCAAAAATTGAGAATATTGCAGCGTAGACTATAAAGGTGCCTTTGAGGTATACATTAGGAAGTGAGATGTCATTAGTAGGATCTTTACTCCTACCCTTCCTTCTGTTTTTGTCTTTTTTTGGGGCGGGGAGAGGAGGAGGGGACAGGATCTCTTTCCATAGCCCTGGCTGTCCTGAAACCCACTATGTAGACCAGGCCAGTCTTGAACTCACAGAGATCTACGTGCCTCTGCCTCTTAAGTGTTGGGATAACCACACCACTGAGATTTTCACTTTATCCTCTGTAGATCAAGTATGTACAGAGCCCGGCGCTGACACAGTGTGTCAAAGCTAATCACTATCATGTCAGAGTAAGGTTTGGCATTTAAGAATGCATCTTAATAAAGATGGGGGTAGGGGGTGGAGAGATGGCGCAGGGGTTAAGAGTACCACTGGCTACCCTTCAGAGGTCCTGAGTCCAATTCCTGGCAACCCACGGTGGCTCACAACCATCTGTAATGAAATCTGGTGCCCTCTATTGGCATTCAGGCATACATGCAAGCAGAACATTTTATACATAAAGAAGGAAAATATATCTGACAGTTTCTTTTTTTTTTTTTCAGAGTTGAGGACCAAACCCAGGGCCTTGCGCTTGCTAGGCAAGTGCTCTACCACTGAACTAAATCCCCACCCCCTGATAATTTCTTAAAGACGGTCATTTTGTTGAGCTGGGCTCTAACTCGGCTGGTAGAGCACTTGCCTTGCATGCACACGGCCCAGGGTTTGACCCTCAACGTTGCAAAAATAAAATCATTTTATCGAAACTGTTAGCAGTTGAGTTACAGATTCCTGGCTGGGTCATCTCGCAGCACTGTCTGCTGCCTGGTGCTGCCTGTGCCCACTGGATTGTCAGTTTGCACCAGGGGTGGTGCCTGTGGGTGGTGCAGGGGCCGGGTTCCAGCAGCTCTGCTGGGCAGAAACCGCATGGCTTCCTCGCCACCAGCCCCAACCACCCTCCTCAAAAGTGGCCAGTGAGACCCTCAGGTCGCCCTGCTGTCCAGCGGTGCCTTCAGAAGATGCATAGGGATGGACCTGTGATTGCTGCACCATGCGACTTCATCTCCACTGTCTTAGCTAGGAGAAAGCTAGGAGCCGCCTCTGAGCATGTCTGTAGAGAGGTTTAACTGAACGGGCATGGCACCATCCCTGGGCTGCGGTCCTGAACTAAACAAAAAAAAGTGAGCTGAGCATCAGTGTTCATCTCTCTGCTTCCTGACTGTGGATCCCCTGTGACCAGCAGCCTCATGATCCTGCCACCATGGACTGTACCCTCAAGCCAGGAGCCAAAACAAATCCATCCTTCCTTCCTTCTTTTCTTCCTTCCTTCAAGTGGCATTGTTGGACATCTCACAGCAACAATAAAGTAATGAATATGCCTTCGCTTACACTCTGACCTAGTTTTCCCAATTGACATGGATAATGAGTGCAATTTACTTGAGGAAATCTTAGCCCCCTGAGCCCATATGGGGGGGAGTCACTACTTGCTTATGAAATTTGGGTAATTAGAATAAATCCACGGGACCTGGCAGTGTGAGGTCCAGTGGACAGGATGGGGACCCCAGTGCCACCCATGGGTCACAGCTGATAACTGTTAGCTATGTGAGTTTCCACACAGCAGATGAAATATGAGAGGACCCGTTACTCCCTGGCTTCTGCATGCTTCCCTTTTGAATTTACACCCCTGTGTCAATTGACCAGGAACCTCTCAGACTTTCTCTAAAGCCGCCCGGCAGCAATTCTTTCTCTATCCAAAACATCTGGAAAACATCAGCATGCAAGCTGGCCTCTCTATCTCTAGGGGCCTGCAACTGTGCATCCAACTGGCTCCGGATCAAACAATATTTGAAGCATAAGCAATAGCCGCATTGAGAAGACTGAGGAGCTCTGTGTGCGGTTGGCATTCTGGCAGGATGGGGCAGCCAGCCATAGTGCAGCGCGGTATCTGGAGGGTAAATGTGGGCCCTGTGCAGACACCGCTTCACCGTCTCTAGGGATGTTCACATCCTTAGTTTCTGATATCTTTGGGGACCGGGGGCTCCCTGAAAGCAATCCCCTGAGGATCTAAAAGGATGACCGTATTAAGAAAATAAAAATACCCCACTTCATTTTCCTTTTTCTTTGCATTGATGTTTTTTCTCTCCTTTAAAAATCTGATTACATTAAAAACTGTGTGTGTGTGGTGTGTTTGTGTGCATGTGTTCACACTTGAGCATGTGGGTCACAAAGTGCACATGGAGGTCAGAGAACAATGCCCTAAAGTTCCAAAATTGGTTCTCTCCTTCCATCACATGGGTCCCTGGGAGTGAGCTCAGGGCATCAGGCTTGGTGGTACACTCCTTTTCCTGCTGAGCCCTCCCTCTGTTCTACAACAAACCACATCCTGCTCCGCTTTTGATATCGCAAAGATAACACACAGCCTTTGTGTCACAGGTAAAGACGGCAGATGTATGGGAGCTGCTCTCCTTGACCAGGTGTGGTGTGCACCTAGGACCCCAGTGAGGCAGGGGTATGGAGAAGTGGAAGCAAGCCTAGGCTACACAGTGGGTTCTAGTCTAGCCTGTGCTACATAGTGAGATCTTTTCTAAACAATTAACATCAACAACAAATCAAACAAACAACCCAAACAAAACGTGTATCCTCTGGTTTGATCCCCAGCACTGAAAACAAACAAATAAAACAAAACCTTCTTCTCTCTCTACTAATGTGATGTGCCTACACAGACGTTTACATTTCCAACATGGATGCCGTCTGCATCTGGCGCTAATTAATCATGGCATGTCACTTCTCACATGGCTATGGCCAGTCACATGGCTATGGCAGTTCCTGGCCTTCCGGCTTAGCACTCACTTTCTCCACTGGCGGGTTTTTATTGCTTTGGATATGTTTCCGCCAAAACCACGTGTACAAACAGTATCTTTATCTACTTTCTACCCTTGTTCCTTTGACCTCTGTGAGGCTTGGCCCTTGTCATATGTCCGACATCTCTGGGTCCCCAGCTCCTTGCTGGGTGGGTGTTCAGGGTACCCTAGCTAATGACATGTCACTTACCCGTGTGGATCTTCAGATGTCGCTCCATGTCCTTCATGCCGTAGGCAGTCTTGAACTGGCAACCTGAAAAAGTCAAGAGAAGATAAAGTCCAGAGGGATTTGAAGTGGCAGAGACTTGCCTCACCACAGCGAGATGGCCAGCAACACAGGAAAGACACTGATGTCACATGCCAGACACAGTACAGCATCGCTGTGGCACAACCTCAAAACCGAAAGGAGCCATCAGAATGACGCATGAACTTACACAACAGTGGTTCTCAGCCTGTGGGTCACGACCCCGTGTGTGTGTGTGTGTGTGTGTGTGTGTGTGTGTGTGTGTGGTCAGTCACATATCAGATATTTACATTACGATTCATCACAGTAGCAAAGGTACAGTTATGAAGTAGCAGAGAGATAATTTTACGGTTGGGGGTCAGCACAGCATGAGGAACTGTATTAAAGGGTCGCAGCGTTAGGAAGGCTGAGAACCCCTGTTTTACAACATGGCCCGTAGGCTAGAAAGATGCTGTCGTGAACGGAAGAGACAGACAAATGCTTGACGGTCCTGTTCAGAGAAGACTGAAGATCCGTAAGAACCAGTGTAAGGAGGGCCGGAGATGGTGCAGCGGTTAGCGCACTGGCTGCTTTTCCGGAGGACCCAGGTTTGGTGCGCAGCACCCACACAGAGGCTCACAACCACCTGTGACTCTAGTTCCAGGGGGTTCCACGCCCTCTTCTGAGTACCAGTGGGTACCAGACACATGGGGGGTATAGACTTTCTTGCAGGTGAAACACTCATAAATTTTAAAGAATAAAAAGAATTCACGTGGCTGGGCGGTGGTGGCACACGCCTTTAATCCCAGCACTCGGGAGGCAGAGCCAGGTGGATCTCTGTGAGTTCGAGGCCAGCCTGGGAGCTACACAGAGAAACCCCGTCTCGAAAAACCAAAAAAAAAAAAAAAAAAGAATTCACGAAGAAGGTGGGTATTGGTGCTTAGGCCTCCAGTTCCAACACTAGGAGGCTGAGGCAGGAGAATCATGAGTTTGAGGCCCACCAAAGCTGTATGGTGAATCCCAGGTCTGCTTGAGCTACAGAGTGAGGACCCAGTCTCCCCAACATTAAATCCTAAGCACCCTGTCTGTACTCAGCACAGAGCCCCCTTTACCCGGATAGCAGCAGCCCAGCCTCTTCTGCGCAGGCGGTGTGGTGGGCTTTTTGGTGCGTGACTTGGCGGGGAGAGAGATCACGGTGGCTGTCTGGTTTTCATTGCTCTCCGCGGGCAGGTAGGTTTGATAGCCATGTTCAAAGACGAATTCTGGAGCTGAAACTAAAGGGTGCAGTGGTCATTAATTGCCACAGGATGACGTAATGCACCCCAGGTGGTGAGGCACAGGGTCTGTGGAAAGAATTTCCTTTCTCATTCACAAGTCAAGTGTGTGAACTGTAGGGGTGGCTCAGTGGTTAAGAACACTGGCAGCTGCTCTTCCGGAGGACCCAGGTTCAATTCCCAGCACCCACACAGTGTGGCTCACAACCTTCTATAACTCCAGTTCCAGGGCATAGGAGGCCCA